CATGGTTGGTAGTTTACTTGTTCCTAGTCCTATTAACTGGTGTGGTCGCGTTAGGTACTTGGGTCTCTATTGGGGCCCTGCGTCCCCGTTTGCGAGTTGTGTCAACGAACTTTTGGAAGCAGGGCGACGGGCTATGTTCGGTCTTAGTAATCGGTTGGATGAGAACAGGGTGTGGGCTCCTGCCGTTCGGCTTCAAGCGTTCGACACCCAGGTCCGTTCGGTTCTCTGTTATGGTGCTGAGGTCTGGGGTCCTGATAGGATTGTCTCCGTCCTGCGGTTAGGTAAAGGTGTTTTACCCGCTGGTAAGTCATATTTTGATTTGGCTTTGGAAGATGGTATGGTCCAGGTCCAGCGTGACTTCTGTTTACGTTGTGCTGGGCTCAAGCAGGTACCTTACAAGCTGTTGTACAGGGAGCTGTCTCAGTTGCCTTTGCAGTACTTTTGGTTACGCCTTGCGTTGTGTTTCTGGAATAAGATAGTCAAGTCCCGTGGGTCGGTCTATCATGACGTGTTAGTAGATGATCTCCGTCTGGCTCTTCTGTCTGATCTCAAAGTGGATTGCTGGTCGTCTAAAGTGCTCATCATTTTGCGTTGGTTGGGCCATGAGTGGCCGGCGTGTGACTCCGTTTCTCAGAAGGTAGATGTATACTCGTCTCAGTTGATTCGAGTGGGTGAGGTTCTGGAGAGGTTATCTGCGTCCCTTTTAAGTGACTGGGATCAGTTCAGCCAAGGGGGCGATCCGCGTGTGTTCCAAGGTAAAGGGGTTTCGCTTTGCAGGTATCATAACTGGATGGGCTCCCCTTCACCAGCAAGAGAGGGCTCCGATCCCACAGGCTATTTGCGTGTTTATTTGCCGGTTAACCAGTTGCGTATGGTTGCCAAATTCCGTCTTTGTTGTTGGCCTTTGGAGGTCAACAAAGGACACCATAGGCCGAGAGAGTGCCGTACGTGTCAGGTCTGTACGTCGGGTAAGGTTGAGGATGAATATCATGTGCTCATGGAGTGTGAGGCGCACTCGGGGAATGACTTGGTCATGGACGTGTTTTCTGGTCATGTATGCGGTCATGTATGTGGTCATGGATCTGGTCATAATTTGTCATTAAGTCATGGATCCGGTCATGTATGTGGTCATGGATCCGGTCATAATTTGTCATTAAGTCATGGATCCGGTCATGGATCAGTTCATAATTTGCATAAGCAAGTGCAGGATATGACTGTTTGGGGTCATGAAATGTATGCGATTCATGACGACAATCTATGACATGGGACCGCGAAATGACCGTATACGGTCATGGCTGCACTTTATGACCCCATGCGGTCATAAAGGTGGTCATGTACCTGCTCATAAATATGCGGAACATGACCAGGTCATATTGTGCATGGTATTCCATGATGCAACAATGCACTTCATGACCACCCTGGCCCATGTTTTGCAGTCATTCCATGAGTCGTACACTGCACTCCATGACCACCCTGGCCCATGTTTTGCAGTCATTCCATGAGTCGTACACTGCGCTCCATGACCACCCTGGCCCATGTTTTGCAGTCATTCCATGAGTCGTACACTGCACTCCATGACCACCCTGGCCCATGTTTTACAGTCATTCCATGAGTCGTACACTGCGCTCCATGACCACCCTGGCCCATGTTTTGCAGTCATTCCATGAGTCGTACACTGCGCTCCATGACCACCCTGGCCCATGTTTTGCACACATCCCAGGCGCGGCGGCGGCGGGAATTAGCAACACAGCAGCAGCGGCAGCGACAGCGGTGGGGCTGGGTGGGTAGTAGCCTAAACGGCAGGGGTGGCGGTGATGGTGGTGGGGCTAAGAGGTGCAGTAGCCTAAACGGCAAGTTCGGCAGCAGTGGGGCCTAGCAACATAGTAACAGCGGCAGCGACGACTTTGGGGCTGGGAGGTGCAGTAACCTCACACAGCAGGCGCGGTGGCGGCAGGGCCTAGCAACGCAGCAGCAGCGGCATCAATGGCAGTGGAACTGGGAGGTGCTGCTGAGTTGCTATTTCCCGCCGCCGCCGCGCCTGCGGTTGAGACTAACGCACCTCCCACATGTTTTAGCTAGTTACATCAACAATGCTGTGCCTGTGGGACGGTGCGAGCTGGTGATTTAACTTGTCATGCTTGAACACAGCAGGAGAGATTCTTTGTTAATTAATCCTTAAATACATGCCTTAAGTGTGTAACATATGACTTTCAAATTAACAACAGGGTGTAAGGGAGCTGACCGAGTAAGTATTGGCAACAGGCCAAAATGAAGTTGGCTGCCTTGCCCTGCTAGCTGGCATATACTGATCTTTTCCGTTGGATAAGTGCAGCTAAGCCTAAGGGCCACGCCTGAATGCACATCAAGTCACTGCAAGTGGCTGAAACGAAGGCAATTCAAGTGCACTCCAGAATCCCGGCAGGGATGCTGTATAGTACATTGTGCACATTGTTATAGAGGTAATATACTATGCAGCATTTCAGAAGGGATTCTGGAGTCCATATGGCATATAATTGTCACTTTTTATAAAGGAACAAAACATGAACACAGAGCCAGCATATGACCATTGGGAACATGACTGAATTTACACATATGAGTGGCAATTCATGATCAGTCATGCTGCACAAGGAGCATGACAACTGTCATGACCATGACTCTGCCTCATGACCGGTAACATGACTGGTCATGAGGCCTCATGAGTGGTCATGAGGCAACATGACCAGATCTATGACAGGAAAACCCCCGCATGACCACATCCATGACCAAGTCGTTCCCCGAGTGGCGTATACTGAGTTGCGTAATAGGTTTCTGATTAACGTTGAAGATACTGATATGCGCAAGGTATTTCTTAATACCAATCCGAGGAAAATCGCTACTTTCCTTACTGAGGTTTTTGATGAGCGTCAACAGCGTGCTCTGGAGCCTCACGGCTCGTGAGGGCACCCGCCGCGTCGGCGGCGGAAATACTGTAACCACAATGACAATGACAATGAAACTGCTTCTGACTTCACGCATGTCGTGCCTTCATGCCGGCTTTGCATTTCACCAGCAGCTGGGGCTTACCTTTAGTCCGTGGCATGTCGTGCTGCCACTCGGCTACGTTGGGGCCTACACCTAGCTGTATTGCAGGTGTTCTCTTATGCACTAACAACAACAGAACGGCCCTTGTAACGAATCTGGGGAACCCAACTTTGGGGTGTGTACGGAGAGCCTCCAAGTCTAGGCGTGAAAGCGCATAGCAACGTCACTTGACCTCAGGGCTCTCATAAAGATGTTGAGCTTTATTACACCTCCACGGAGGCGGGTAAAGCTTGGCCCCGGTGGGGATTGGGGTCACAGAACCATCAATCGCCCCTTTTACCATCGCCGTGCCCCCTTCCACTGTCGCCATCCCTGCCGTCTCCCCTGCCACCGTCACCAACCCCATCATCGCCCTAGCAACCCGACATCACCCCTTCCACCATCACCGCCCCTTCCACCGCAGCTGTCGTCATTGCCCGAGCAACCGTCGCCATCCCAGCCATCACCCAAAGCACCGTCACCCCTGACACCATCAACCCTGCCACCGTCGCCATCCCCGCCGTCACCCCTGCCACTGTCACTATCCCCGCCATCGGCCCTGCCACCATCACCATCCCCGCCATCGGCACTGCCAACGTCACCAACCTCGCCGTCGCCCTAGCCACCGAAACCGCTGCCGCAATCACCCCTGCCACCGTCGCCATCCCCGCCGTCACCCCTGCCACCGTCACCAATCCTGCCGTCACCACTGCCACCGTCACCAACCTCACCGTCACTCGAGCCACCGTCACGAAAACCGCCGTCGCCCCTTTTACTGTCACCGTACCCGCTTCCACCGTCGCCATCCCTGCCGTCTCCCCTGCCACCATCACCAACCCCGTCATCACCCTAGCAACCCGACGTCACCCCTTCCACCATCATTGCCCCTTCCACCGCCGCCGTCGCCGTTGCCTGAGCTGCCGTCGCCATCCCAGCCATCACCCAAAGCACCGTCGCCCCTGACGCCATCAACCCTGCCACCGTCGCCATCCCCGCCGTCACCCCTGCCACCGTCACTATCCCCGCCGTCGGCCCTGCCACCGTCACCATCCCCGCCGTCGGCCCTGCCACCGTCACCAACCCCGCCATCGCCTTAGTACCCCGCCGTCTCCCCTTTCAACATCACCATCCCCGCCGTCGCCCCTGCAACCGCTGCCAACCCCAGCGCTGCCTGAGCCACCGTCACCAACCCTGCCGTCAACTGTGCCACCCGCCGTCGCCCCTTCTACCATCACCATCCCCGGCGCCGGCCCTGCCACCGTCGCCATATGCATCCCCGCCGTTGGCCAAGCAACCGTCGCCATCCCCGCCGTCACCCTAGCCACCGGAACCGCTGCCGCAATCACCCCTGCCACCGTCGCCATCCCCGCCGTCACCCCTGCCACCGTCGCCATCCCCGCCGTCACCCCTGCCACCGTCGCCATCCCTGCCGTCACCCCTGCCACCGTCGCCATCCCAGCCGTCACCCCTGCCACCGTCACTATCCCCGCCATCGGCCGTGCCACCGTCACCATCCCCGCCGTCGGCCCTGCCATCGTCACCATCCCCGCCGTCGGCCCTGCCACCGTCACCAACCCCGCCCTCGCCTTAGTACCCCGCCGTTTCCCCTTCCACCATCACCGTCACCGCCGTCGCCCCTGCAACCGCTGCCAACCCCAGCGGTGCCTGAGCCACCGTCACCAACCCTGCCGTCAACCGAGCCACACGCCGTCGCCCCTTCTACCATCACCATCCCCGGCGCCGTACCTGTCGGAGGTCAAGAGCATGAGCAGTGCTCCCGCTGCACTGTAGGCATTGTCGTAGGAGCTTGCCATTCTCTTGCCGCAGTCGCAGCCGAGCTGGGTGGCAAACATGCAGGATGTGGCAGGAGGCTGGCTGGCAGCGGCAACGTGCAGCCGCCAGCAGTGACTGCTGCACACAGAGCTGTACGACTAGGCTGTGGTAGCGGGGCGGTAGCTGCAGCCGCGCGCGGAACCGCGTGGCGGCGCTGCTGGTGGTGCTTGGTGCGCGGGCCTGGTGGCAGGGTGGCTAGGCACCGCCGAGGGTGGAATCGTGGTTGCTTACCAAGGCCGTGCGGCGCCTGCACCTATAAGGCTCGCATTAGGCTCTAGTCAGGGCGGAGGCTCTAGTCAACTGGAAATGTCCCTTTGTCCTCCTAGCACTTCTGCTTGCACAGCAAGTAGTAGCGCTCGATGCTTATTCGCAGTGTCCGCATTACCTAGAATCAGGAGCGCAACCCGAAGGGTCACGTATGAAGTGCGCGCAGCTACTTCAGCGAACCCGGATCCTGGAAAGGGCCAGCCAGCAGGTTCAAAAGGAGCAACACAGCCTTTCCGACACAAAGCTTGGCCCACCTGTGGCCAAACGTGTCATGGAGTCGTTACCACATCCAAGTCCTCTTCGTAAGTGTGATTTTGCGTAATCGGAAGCAACAGCATTGTGCTCGGTTTCAGTTATCCGTCGCCTCGTGTGTTCAATTGGATTCCGGAAAGATGCGGTTGCACCAGCTTCACCGAGGCCGCAAGGCGTGGCCTATGTCCCGCGGCGAGTCATAGTTAAGGAGTCTCCTCAACATACAAAGCTTGGCTTTGCAGTTTAGTTTATCCTAAGTCTTCCAGCGTCACATTTCACACAATTACCCATAGAAGTACCGTAACTAATTTCTGTGCAACCCCAATCACCACCAAGCTCGATGCCACTCCCAACCCAACCAGGTCGACCGCACGGACACAGTTCGCGCGCGGCTTGCGGCGGGCCTATTCGAACGCTGTGCCGAGTGGAATAGCTATGGGAGGTGCGAGCGGTAGCCACGTGGCCCGGGATCGCCGTGCCCTACTGCCACCGTCCCCAGCCCTGTTAGGTCAAATCATTATGCTTGCCTGTGGCTGTCGCCACATCATCCTCACACGCTCTCCTACCTGGCGTTCCTCTTCGTCTCACATTCTATATCGCAGCCTGCCCCACCTCTCAGCTCTCTGTACCTGTGCTGTACCCTTGCCGTACTCGCCAGACAATTTTGCGGACAAATTTTTATCTTAGCCTCTGCGATCCATCTCTTTCTTGGCAGGGGACGGAAGCAGAAAGCGAATATAGAGGTGGTGTAGAGCGTCCGGTTTGCATATTCCATGTGGACCTCTGGCCTCACTACGAATCATGGACGGTCCGTTGGTGTAGATGCCAGCGTTGCATTCCGGTCCGTTGATTACGCAGCCTTTCGTTAAGCAGAAGCGGATCCTGTGGCGCATATGATACGTGTAGCCCTTACAGGGGAGGTACTTGTGGAGGAGGAGGGGGAGTGTGTGGTGAGGATTCATGCGGTAGTAGGTTTGCGTACGTGTGCGTGTAGGGGAAGAGGAGGTAGTGCGGTGAGGGGTGAATAATGGCCTGCGGTGGTTTACCTTTCCGGGTCGGTGATCACTCATGTACGGATGTGTGCGAGCACAGCGGCGATAATGCGGAGAGCCAAAAGTGCTGGATGGCAGCGCCAGGAGCGGTGGAGGTAGCACCTGGCAGCTGATGCCGTGTAGAGATGGGAAAGCAAGTCGCAGACGGCCACGAAACATTTGCGGACCTGCCGCGCAAGCAACGCAAGATTAACCACGGCGACCACGCTGGAAAGCATGGTCGGCACGGAACCGATGCTGGTCACAGGCCGGCGTTGAAGCCAGAACCGTACAATCAGGCCCGGCACAGTCTCCAAAACCAAGAACGCCGTGATAATACATCAGCAGACTACAGCGCCGCGCTACTTAGAAGAGAATACCAACAACACGAGCAACACGAACATGCCCAGCAACAACCCAGTCGTCAGCACAAAGCCCAACAAAAGCACCGGCAGCACCAACACCAACAACACAACAAGCACTCCGAAGGCAAACCCTCCGCCACCGCCCCAGCTGCCACTGCTGCTTCTCCCGCATCGATAGCAAAATCTCCGATATTCGAAGCCAACAAAGCTGCTCTGAAGGCCCGACTTCAGAGTTTGGAGACGCCGAACGTTCCAGATTTCGACGGCAAAGGACCTGGTGGCGGCACCCGAGGAAGCGGTGCAAGGACAGCGCATGGCGGCGGCAGAGGCGGAGGCGGAGGTGTTACATCAGGTGCCAAGGTGGGCAGGCACACGGTTCCAGGAGCTAGGTCGGGGGCCCCATCGCCGGCTGTAGCAACACCAGCACTAGCAGCAGTAGCAGCGGAGGCGGCAGGGGGTGGCAAGTACGTGGCGGAGGTGCATAAGGAGGTGGGTTATTGGAGGACGCGCAGGGGCTCGTGTGCGTGTAAGTGGGTATGCGGTTTTTTGTCCCACTCGGAACATCATCCATCCATCCATCTGTTCGTCTTTCCGTCCGTTCACCTGTCTGTCTGTCTGTCTGTTTGTCCGTCTGGCTGTGTTTGGCGTGTACCCCGTCGCCATTTCTCTCAGCCGCCAGTTG